GTGTTGCGTAAAGAGCCCATACAATGGGTGTATGATTATGAGAAGTCTTGATCTATGACTAAATGAATAAATTTTAAAAAAAACCCTAACAACAACTTACACAGAGCTGTCCATATGTCAGTCAGACGTGCACATGGCAAATACATACCTTCCTGTAGTAAACTGCTGAGGATACACACGCAGTGTATATCCTTGTCAGTCCTTGCTTGAACCTGTCCTAAGTTGCAATGATTATGAAGAAATTGGCTTTTGAAGTAACAGGCCTTCCTTCTGCAACTAAATCATACAAGAAAAGGTAACCACCAAGCACTGCTGATGGATTTTTCTAATGTATGCAGCAGTTGATGTAAGTGATCTGTTGTCTGCTAGTTTCTAGATGGGCTGTTGGAGAGTGATCATTTCTCAAATCCTCTTTGAGAAATGCCAAATTAATAAAATACCTTGTGGGAAAATAGATCATATTTGACTGACTTACAGTTTGAGCAAAGGCAGATAATTCCAGTGAGATGGGGAATTGAACTCAAGTGACAGCCTGAGAGATCCTAGTTTTCATTTGTCCAGTCCTTGGTATTTCCTCACGTGCTGAGACAGTGAGAAAATGTATTCCCACCTGCACGGTGTAGACACAAACTCTCCCGCCTTGGGAAGTAAGCCTGTACTCTGTCAGCATGCAGCATGTGTATAGCAGGGCACAAGTAAACCAGACACTGATAAACAACAAAACAAAATCCTCAGGTACCCATATGTGGCTGCGAGGACATGATTCAGCTCCTCATATTCCACTACTAAAATACTGTGATCTCAATTTCAGCCTCTTGTTGTACAGTTTCTCTTAATTCACAGCAAATCCTGTCCATTTTCTCAAAGGCTTGTCGTCCCTTTTCACCTATGGAAAAAGAAAAAATACATCCCATGCTGAGGAAGAGAAAGCAGGTAGAAACACCCTGAGAAAAGTGATACTCTAGAAATACTCGTGTTGTGATCTTGTTCAGCCCTAACAAGAACTCTCTTGTAAGGGAACAGTGCTCCCACAGTGGCTTCTAGCAGTTTTTAAAAATCAAGCCTTCTGTAAACATTTCCACATGACTTACAATTTGGAGCATCACAGTTGGAGAACTTGTGTTGTCAAACATAGGAATCTGAGTGTTTCTGTGAAGCAAGGCTGGAGAGCCCCAGAACTAAGCATGAATCTAAGTGGTTTTAGGACAAGGAAGTGGCTGTCTCCTAGATATCCTGGAGCTCCTCTCGGGCACCTGTGCTTTAAGTAAAGTACTTGCCTAGGCAAGTCTCCTTTGCCTGCAGTGGAAGTATGACTACTAGGCAGTAGCAAATAGGAAACACTGGCATTTCATTAGCAGCTCAACTCCCCTGTAGATCTGCTGAACTCAGGTGGAGAGCGGCAGGTAATGAACCAGCATAAAACCATTCTGTTTGTACTCTTTGCCCCTCCAGTATTCAGAGTGGAGCCATTTGAAGAACAGGAACATTAAAATTAGAAGTAACATGTCAGTTTGTAGGTGGCTAGAAAAGATTACCAGACCCAAAGAATCTCTCGTCGTTCTGACAGAAAGAAGAGTTTGAAATCAGTTTAGTGAATCTCAGAGCTAGAAGACTCTTTATTGTGAGCTGGCAGGTTCAAATGTCCTTTTTATAAAATCTAGCAGGAAGAAATTGCTCATGCCAGTTACTACTATTAAGTAGTACTCCATTAGCACTGTCAGTACCTGTCTGCCACCTTTTTAAACAGTTTAATGTTTCTTAAAGCACTTTATCCTACAGAAATCTCCTTGGTCTGGTTCTACAAACTTTAATTGGAGCCTTTTGTTATTAAATGTGGTACAAAGTTTATCTTAAAGGTCTGAAATAGCTGTTCATGAAACCGCTCCATTGTCCTAGATGTCTTCAGGCTGAACATCAGGCCTGTTCTGGTTCTGCACTATTTCACATTACTTTTTCAGAATCTGTTTTTAAGTTGTACAAAAGACTTACCAAAGGATAGCGTTGTGTCCCTGGCTGCATTCCTAACTTCCTCTGTTCCAGATTGGCACAGGCGGGCAACCTGCTCAATACTCTCAACACCCTGTTTTGTAACAGAAAAAAAGCTTTACAACTGACTCCATATATAGATGACTTGCTCATTTTTCTACATGCCCCCCAGTCAGACAGTGGCTGTTGTCCTTCAGCAGCAATAATATCGCAGAAGTTAGAAAATGCCCTTTCTGCCCTTGCCCTGTGCCTGTCAGATCCAACTGAGACACTCCCAGATGCCTGCAGCTCCCTCTGCCTGCTGCCTTCTGAATAATAGCATTAATAGCCTGGAACTTCAGCAGCCAAAGAATTCATTAATTCCAAACAGAAGGAAGCTGTAAAAATTAACCCTACCAGCTTTAAAAAAAACAAACTAGGTACAATTTTGCATCTAGCAATTTTGGCGAGACATGCACAACAAAAGTACAGCTGTAAATACTTACTCTGAGGTTTTTAAGGGCCAAACATGCAGCTTGTTGAAGTCTCGCATCACTGTCAGCTAAAACATCAGTGTAAAAAAAGAGAGCCTAAATAAAAAAAAAAAAGAGGGGGGGAAAAAATAGAAGTAAGTGTAATCAAGCACTCAAATTTAGACTGACATTGGCACCGTTTCACCTGTCTTATGAATAAAGGATATAGACCAATCACTTAAGCACTGATGTAGTTCAGGTTCTAGTTAACAGGATAATGAAGTACACCAGGGGCAACAGTGCTACTCTTGGATAAAACAAGCACCGTGTGTTTCGGCACCTGTTTAGAAAAGCAGGTCAGAACTGCAGTCTTTACCTTTTCCCTAAAATTCCTGTTCCCTGCGGCACGGGAGAGGCAGGATGTGGCTGCTTTGCTGACACGGTGGTTGTCGTCCAGCTGCAGAATCCCAAGTAGCCGTAAAGTCTGTGGTAGAGGTTGGAGTTTGTTCAGTCGCTTTCCTTTCAATTTTTTAAGAGTCTTCAGCCGTCCAGGGCATTGTAGCTCCTCAATTAGCATCACTGCAAGTGAAAGGACTCAACTTCACTGACAAATGAAGACATTATCAAGAGAAGACAGACTCCTCTCTAGTTCCATCTCTTTTAGCCACCTGTAGTTATTCACAAGGCTAATAAGTAGCCAAGTATGGCAGGAAGCAAATCAGGACGAATGCCCTTGGACCATCCTGTCTTCTTGCCCTGTCCTTGTTTCATTTCCTCCTATGCCGAGACTCTCTGACAAAAGGAGCAGGGATTATTATTTCACAATGTTAGTTTACAGGATGCAGCGAAACCCTGGTCCTTTTACGACCTGGATGCATACGTATCGTACGAGATATGATGCATACTTGCATACGACATACAGTGCAAAAGAACCACTGCACCTTTGGACATTAGGACAAGCAGAGTAGTCCTAAAATAAGGAAAACATGATCAAGCAAAATACTTTTAAACATCTCTGAAAGATCTTCCTGCACTGGTCAAAGAGAAACCCCTCTACGTTTAAAAAAATCAAAGAAAAAATAAAATGAAATTAGGCACTGGATTGACAGTTTCAATTTGAAGAATATTCCAGGTCTTTTTCATTGACTAGCAATGCACAAGTTCGTAGTTCCCCATCAGATGAGCTGTCTGTACCAAAATAAGATTAAAGATGCAGCCAATATCAGGACTATTTTTAAAATAACTATTTTCTAATACAGAGTTAAGTTTTAAAGTACTTTCCCATGTTGGACTAGGCTTCAGTAAGATGCTGGCTACCTTGTGCTAGAAAATGCACATTAGTAACCTGAAATTTTATTGCTATTATCTGTGTCTGATTACAGCTGCAATAGTCACACAAGGCTATAGCCATTTACTCAGTCCTTGCATCCAGCTGTAGATTGCTGCCCACTTTGTTTCTGCTTGAACTTCAGAGTAGCACAGAACCCACTTTTTAGGGCACTTAACGATAAACCTATCCTTCACACCTCTGTTTTGTTTCTACCTGGTTAGACACGGGAGTCAAGCATATCTTTCCTGTTCTAATTAAAATTGCATGGTCATAAGGGGAATTAAGATGGCAACAAATTAGCAAGACTCTTTTCTGGTCTTCAGAGCAGCATATCTTGAGTAGTAACCTGGAGAGCAACAGCCAGCTGCTGGGCTTGTGAGCTCCAGCCAAGGAGCCAAGCACTGCCGTTACCTTCTTTAGCAAGTCTTCCCAAGTGTTTCTCCAGGCTGGTAATGTGGTGTTTTTCCAGGTAGCTATAAAATTGGAATAAAGTAACTGGTTCTGTCTGGAGGCACAGAGAGGGGAGCAACCCATCACAGGTGATGATCTGCTCTAGCAACCTCTGCAATACTGGAAGTAACACAGAAAACAACAAATGAGAAAATGAAAGGTTGGTTAGATTGAAGCTGCTTAAAACAAGAAAGTGCAACTTTTAGTTTATTTCTAAAATGCACAAGGACAATTTTTAGCTGTGCAATAAAATGAAAACAGAGCGGCCGTGTGTTCGAGGAACAGACTGGTACCTGCTTCTAATTGACCGGGGTACTTTTCCTTCACTTTGAGCGTCAATGTGTATTTTAGTGCATGACGGAATCTTTCTACTGAAGCAAACAAGATGGTTCCAGGCTCTGCAAGATCACTCCAGATTTTCAAATAGTGCTTCTTCTTTTTAGTCTTCTGAATAACTGGGGGGGGGTTAAAAAAAAAAAAAAATCACATTTTAGAAAGTTCATGAGCTTTAGCAGATTTTGGATTTTACATGAGAAATTAGGCACCAGATGGCATGTCTAGAGATGTGTCAGCATAACTTGTATTTGCATTAGATAGACGGTTTTGTTCAAACCTGGAGATTTGTTGCCAGTATTTTAACACCTGCAAGCATTGATTCGCCAAGCTTGGGTTGAGTTCTTAAACTGTCATTATGAGACCTGAATGAGATGCCTAGCAGCTCTCCTGCCTCTCATTATTCATCTTATCCCAGCATCTGAGTCAAGTTTCCAAAGAACTTTCTGTGAGTTTAACTGTTTCCACTTCTACCAGCAAGAGCTGTGCCATTTCCCAGCGTTTTACAGATGCTGCCTTATGTACACCTTTGCAAGTGGAAAACTCTGAACCTCAGTGCACAGGCTGAGGCAGGCTTTCTTTCATCAAATGCTTCAGAAGAGCACTTGAAGCAATGCCCTACGGTTTCTCACTATCATTTAAACCCTATCATTTCTCACTCTTACCTATAGAGATGTTGAACTCGTGTTAGGCATTTAAGACTCACTCTTACATTTCCCTCGTCATGTTGTGCCAAAGGCCCTTCAGAGCCTTGCTCCAGAGAACACTTTATTCTTACATCCTTCAGGATAAAATCTGTCAGCAAATGCTTCCAACTAAAATTTGCATTCTTGCCACTATATTTACCAAGATGAGAACAAAAGCCTTCAAAGTCTCCCATTGTGCCTTTATCACTTGGTCATACCCAGAAGTCCATGGAAGCATTTAGTAGGGGGAAGGCCTGAGATGGGAAAAATTGCACACCAAACTTTTCTTGCAAATATGTACAGAAGTCGGGCTGTTTGCTTACTACGTAAAAGCATAGATGTAAAAGAGGATTTTATTAAGGCTCTTCTACTGTTCTTTAACTGCAGACTCTGTCATCTATAACATCACCGTTTCTACGACATACCAGTTCAGCTACTATTTCTTTGAGCTAAACTTCTTCAAATCTTTTCCTTCCTTGCAGAGGAAAAAACCCAAACAAACCATGAGCCCTGTTTTTTCTAAGAATCTAGACAGAAGACCTGTTTGAATTATGTGAATGTTTGTAAGGAATTTAGAATGAAACCCTGATGTGTCTGGGGAGGCTTAAGCAGTTACCTGTACCTCTCTGGCATGCCTTGGAATAATGCAGTTACTCACTTTCTTCAACAGATGTATCCAAGACATCCCCCAGGACTCGCGTCTGCTCTGATACTGCTTCCAAAATGCTCTCCTGGACAACCTGGGCTACATTTGGTGACCTCAGTTTCTGAAATGCAATATGCTTATCTTAGTAGCTGAAACAAAGGCAGTATCGAGCTCAAGATGAATGAGGTGTATTCCCACAGAATTCTAAAATCCATGGGAATACACCAGCTGCTTTCAAAAGGCCTCTTTTCCCATCACAGCAGGGACAGGTCACTTCTCAGTGCAAAGATGCTCAACAGAACAGGATGAATAAATCACATTATGCTGGGACAGGCTGTCCAGCATTTGACATTCCTCTCTGCCCCTGTCCATTGACAACTGTGTAGCAGATCAATACTAACAGTTACACTGTCCTCTGCTGCCCATCTTCAGAGGTGATACTTTGAGGACTGATAGTGCCTGAGAACTATCATCAAAATTAATTGAGGAATGAGGTCTCAAGGGGAGAGAAGAGTTCTTTCTTGCCCTACATACTAGCAGTTTCTTTCCAATAGTAGCAGTTTTTTGTTCATTAAAAAAATTGATCACCTGTTATTGATACACAATTCAATGCAAATCTATCCTACAGCATTAGCAGCCTGCTTTGGGCACAAAGGTATTACTTAGAGCTTCAGCAAAACTCAGAAGCTGAAAAAAAGCAGCAGAGTTTTGTATGACATGTTCTGTGCATACACACATATATACTGCATTTTTTGGACTCAATTTCTGTTCTGAATCTTTCTGCTTTTATAAAAGAACCAGCTACATATTCACTTTTGTCCATTATCAGAATCACCAATTACAGGCAGTGCCCTGGAAGTCCATAGGCTGCTCCTTACCTCCAAAAGGCCTTTGCACAGCTTCAGATGAGTTACCAAAAGTGCGTCTAAGTTGTCATCACCAGTAGTTACATCTCTTGTTTCTGTTCCCATGTCACAGCTCAGGGACTGAAGCGTGTTGTCGTTGTATGTGCTGTTGAGATGAGGAAGAATGGAGTTAAAACGTTACCTCATCACGAAATACATATGAAGATGTGCAGTCTCAGCAGTAGCCTTCAAGCAAGCTGCAAAAGTACAAACCAGGGAGCATTTAACAGGTGTCACCATTTTTCACTGCATTTAAAACAGTTCTTAAAAACATGAAGACTTTATTTCTAAAACTCATTCCAGGACAGTAATACCAGATCAGTTGATTCCACCAAATCCCATTTTGGGGAATCAGTACTAGGAAAGGATGATCTGGATAAGGGGATTGAGCGCTCCCTCAGTAAGTTTGC